TCCCCATGAGCCTGTATAAGCCATGCTTAGTTGACTCAGTAGGCCATGTTCTCCTGGTGTCCTCCATGCCCTCTGACTCCTACACTTTTTCCACCCTGAGATTTGAGGGGAGGGACCTGATGAAGGCCTCCAATTTAGACTCTCCACATAATATCTGGGTATGGGTAGCTGCAACCTACCCCATCTGCTGCCAGAGCCTCTCTGATGATTACTGGAAAAGGCAAATCATTTCTTCAATTTTTCTTTTAGGTCAGTCATGTTTGGCTCTACCCTAGGTCTCTGGGCTATCTAGTCTCCAGTTCCTGGATATCAAAGCAGTGTAAGACATGGACTTCCTCTCCTGCAGGGGGCCTCAAGTCAAATTAGACATCAGTTGGCCACTTCCACAAGTTCTGTACCATAATTGCCCCAGCACATCTTCCAGGCAGGACAGACTGTAGGTCAACAGTTTTATTGCTGGGTTGGTGTCCATGTTTTTCTTTAGGTAGCCAGTTGAGGATCTTCCTGTACCAAAGAGATTAGAACATAGGAGTGACAGCTCCATGTAGGCACCAGTCAAAATCTCCTTGTTCAAGGAGGTATGTGGATGTTGTCCTCAACAATGGAGCCTTGCTGTCCATTTGCAGAGAGCAAATCTCTGTCCTAGCAGCAGCCTGTGTTGTTTGGGGATCTACTTGGGATCCCCTTGGCCAACAACTCAACTGAATGCACCCAAGTCCTGCCACTGAGAACCTTGGCCAGCTATAGGAGATGGCCAGTTGAGACTCCATATCCACCATTACTTGGAGTCCTCACTAAGATTACCCGCATAGTTTCCATGAAATTTCCACTGCACTAGATTTCCACTCAGCTCCACAAAATGTCCCCTAATTCCATATGACTCTCTCAGATTCCATATTCTCTCCCTCCATCCCATCTGCCCTCCTGACCTGATCCTTCCCACTCCTGTCCCCACCTGCTCCCAGTCCACATGCAAAATCTGTTCTATTTCCCCATTTCTGGGAGATCCATGCATCTCCCCTTGAGCCTTCTTCTCTACCTAGCTTCTCTGGGTCTATGGATTGTAGCTTGGTTATTATTTACTTAATGGCTAATATCCACTTATTCTTTGACTCATTTTGAGTTTTGCGGTGTATGTTTTCTTCAATCTGCACAAAATTCTTTATATTTCAAGAAATCCTTAAAACACCCCCATTATTTAATGAGGCAAAACTTGTCTTCATTGTCAAACAACTCATTACCTTGCGTATGCTTGTGAGCAGGTGCATGATCTTCTGAGTCTTTACGTTCTCATTTCAAAGGAACAAAATCTAGATCACACAGACCTATAAAGCCCATTAAGTGAAGTAAAATACACGCTACTAACTACAATTTTTAATCCCCTGGGAATAGTTTATTTAACCTAGGGCACAACATCTCCATAAGCCATTGCAGACTTGTGAGAGAATGTGAAGGCATATTTAGTTCTGTCAATTATTATCTTGGTGTCCTTGATAAGCAGTAATTTTGGTGCTGGGGAGATGGTTTGGTAGGTAAAAGTGTTGCTATGAAAGCCTGATGATGTGAGTTTGAACCCATGTAAAAAGCCAAATGTGGGAATATGCATCTGTGATGCCAGCAATGCTGCAGCAAAACTGGCAACAGAGAAAACTGCCTGCAAGCTCATGAGCCAGATAGCTTGGAGTACAAGTCTTAGATGTAGAAACAGTAAAAAAGACCCTGCCTCAAATAAAAGGTGGAAGGTGAGAACTGACTCCTGAAAGCTATTTTCCGACCTCCACAAGCACATAACAGCACAGCACATGCAAACCTGTACGTACACACACACACACACACACACACACACACACACACACACACACACACATATGCATACACACATGCACATAGGCACACACAGATACAGTTTGCAAACCATACTCACACAACAATAACTGTTAAAAATAGAGCTCATTTCTAAACTGGATGCATCTATGGCATGTTATTTTTTCTTTCATTATCTTATTTTAGAGAGAATCTGCCAAGATATGTATATAATACAAGTACAAATTTTAATGTGAATAACTGGACCCTATCTGCAAATTAAAGTCCAAACAAAGTAATCAGAACAGAGGTATAATAACATCCAGTGATGAAAATCTAATGTATGTTGTATCTCTTTTTGTTTAACAGCAACAGCAAAAATTACGAGCCATTATTACTACTTTAAATCTGTTTATCCAAGTGGCTTTGGGAATGATAAACCTCTTCCTGGTGTCTGAAGAAGGGATTAAGTATTCAGGGAGTGCACTTAATCCTTCTTCAAAACTTCTCTCGAACTTCTGCTTCTCCATCTGTGAAATGGCTGTAGCAATCCATGTGCAACTTAATTAATATTGCAAATGTCCAGGGTGTTTGCTGAGGTCTCTTGGATGAGCAAAATGTTTCTGTTGATAAATGTTGGTGGTGGTAGGAGAAAAGCTTGTGCCATCCTACCAGTTTGAATCTGTGCTCAATGAAGGGAGCATCTCATTGCTGTGAGAGTCAGCAAATACAAGAGATACTACAGGCACTACAGGTCAAGTGGCAAACAAGCCTCTATAGCAGTGATTTCAATCTTCCTAATGCTGTGACCCTTTAATACAGTTCCTCATGCTGTGGTGACCCCTAACCATTTCTTTGCTACTTTATAACTGTAATTTTGCTGCTGTTCTGAAACATAATTCGAATAATTTTGGTGACAGAGAGTTGCCAAAGGGGTAATGACAAGTTGGGAACCACTGTCTATACAGAAGTAGCCTTTTCATTGTAAATGGACACTTAGCACCTAAGGGCGGAGCAGTTAATGTGGCAAGTCAGCAAATAAGCATATCACCATAACTCACAAATATTGTCTTGTGTTACTATTTGTTGTATGACTTTTCCTAGGGAGATGCAACTATGTATTCATACCACACAGGGCATTGAAAATAGTCCAAAAAACAGATTGTACCATAGCCCAGTTTGAAAAACCCATGCATTTGTTGGAATTACTTATGGAGCATGAGTGAGGAATTAATTGTAAGAGTGAAGGTGACTCATCACAGTTTTGTCTTTGCATCCCCAGAAACAGCACAGGTGACAAATCTCCAAAGCTACATCCCTGGAGTGCCCTGCACAACTGATAGGCAGCTGGACAGATCACAAAATCTCTCCTCAGCAGCATTATTGTTTATATAACCTTGAAGAGAACTTTATGAATCTTATAAGTTTCAGGAACTTCCTGAAACTTAAGAGTTTTTACTTCTTCAGTATGAGACTTCTTCCAGGAAGAAAAACAGTATCTCACTTCTTATGTCTTTAAGACAGTATGATTTTGAGAATCCAGTTTATACGTTCCTCATCTCCTTCACTCTTTCCACTCCCTCTACAGCAATGTCTCCTGAGCCATGGGGGTTGACAAACAGGTTGACACAGATGTCCCAACTACAGCTGAATACTCAGAATTTTGAGAAGCTATGAAGGCTTCCCCACTCCAAACTGCCTCAGAATTTATTCACACCAATCTTTATACCATCTTCACCTCTCACCTCTCACACACAATCTTTTTCACTGGAAATATCCTCTGGATTAATAACAAGATGAGATTATATTGAATGTATTTTCACATGTAGGTGTCTACAATTCTATAACTGTCATAGTGACTTTGTAGGCTAAACTTCTGTAGACCTCATGAAATAATCAATAGAAGCATAACTTGTGAAAGTCGAGAGCTCTTCCTGGAGCCCCCAGGTAATAAGCTGCAGAACCAGAATGAAGCATTTATACCCATTTGTTTCTCCTCCTCCAGAGGCTTGGATTTCTTTAGGTCAGGGATTCTCAACCTTCCTAATGCTGTGAGGCTTTAATACAGTTCCTTGTGTTATGGTAACCCCAAACCATAACATAATTTCATTGCTACATCATAACTGTAATTTTGCTACTGTTATGAATTATAATGTAAATATCTGATATACAGTATATCTGATCTGCAACCCACTGGTTTAGAACCACTGCTTCAGGTGTTATGAACTACATGCAGATCTCTTTCCTTAGAGCTAATGAGTTTCTTGTGGGAGCCTGTAGAGAGACCTGCTTCAACCTGCTCCTACCTTTAGAAGGGTTCTTAGGTAGAGGAGAGAGGGATAAGAAAATATCAGAGAAAAAGAGAGACTTAAATGAGGAGAAGAAGGACAGAAACACAGGAGGGCCTGGGTAAATACCCAAAAGCCACTTCATTTATTCAAAAGGGCTTTTTATAACAATGCCAAGGGGAAGGGCAAAAGACCTCCCCATTGTAAAATCGAATCACAATGTACAACCAAGTGTAGACTCTTCCCAATACCTGGTAAACACTCCTGTGGCCAAATCATCTTCTATGCAGCCCTGCTGAGTAAAGCAAGCTCAGATTCTCTGACCCTGAGTCAGTTCTCAGTAGGAAGCCTCTGTGGGATTCCCACAGTTTCTCTGCCATTTCATCTCATCAATTGGCCATCTAGGCTATCGAGTAACTTCAGAAAGGAGAATGTGGACCATTACAGCTGGGACAGGTAGGAATGAAGGGGAGACCATGAAGTTATTGGAGAAAGGAAAGTTCTAGAATGTAGAGCTTGACTGAGCAACTCAGGAATCCAAAGAGTGCTATTGGCCAATGATACTCCAATGTGAGAGCATGAAATAAAGTGAGAAGTGGAAGATGTAAATAAAACAATAGCAAAATTGTGTGTGTGTGTGTGTGTGTGTTAAACATTTAGTTTTTAAACAAGTGCATCACTGTGCATAAATCTGCAAAGAAATAAAGTCTATGGTTTGTATGTGTTTGATCCACTCAAGCACTCAGTCAGCCCTCTTTCAGAATTCTTCTGTGGCTTCCAAAAAGTAAAACCACACTCATCCATCTTGGTTTCCCCACTACACAAGGAGCATGACCTGACCAGTGTCAGACTCTGCTGAGATTGTATATTCCCGGGTTTCCAGTGTAGGACTGTGAAAAGAGAACTGGCATGGCACACTGCAGCATCAAGATTAACATAGGAAAGAAGCCAGTGGGCACAGCAGGACTGGAGTCCCTTCCTCACCTGGCTGTCTTACAGGTAGAGTGTGTTCGAGAAAAGTGCATGCTACAAAGGTACAGGACACAGGTGCTGTATAATTATCATAGAAAGTGGCATGTAGCTCCTGGCCCAGGGCTTTTGAACACCTGCTTTTCCCTCTGCTCACTAGCCAACTTTCACCCTCAGGAGGGCTTTCCCTTTCTTAACAAACTGTTTCCATTTTTAACCATGTGTCCCTGGTGTAATCTTTTGTCCTTGGACATAAAAGCTTGGAATCAGGTGCCCTCTGAACTCAGACCTGTGCCTTTAACAAGATGATGTGGGAGAGGTTTAACACAGTGTTGGGCATGACACACTAATGTAGCAATGTTCTCCATGCTATGGGAGTGTAGAGTTTAAACACTGGATTTTCTCATGCAGGAGGGACTGATGCATCTGTGACTAAAGTGTTGATTTTCAGTTACTGATTAGGTGTGACCATGGCCTGTAGTAAGTAAGCATGCTGGAAACAGAGTTCTTGTTATCCACAGCCTGGTCTGATCACTGAGCTTCATGTGCTCTTTTCCCCCTCACTCCTCTCTGTGACACTGGGTTCATGTCTTCTAAAGTGTACTATTCAGGACCAGCATACTGATGCTTCCTTTGTACATCTGGGCCTTGCTTTCCTTTTTGAGACTGGTCAGTCTCCCTATGTATATATTCACCCTGCTTTCACCTTTCCAAGCACTGATGGGTGCAGTAAAGTTTCAATTGCTGCCACACTGGCAATCAGAAAAGAGTAGGAATCCACAATACACATACCTGCACAGGTGGTACACTTCAACAGCACTGGAGAAGTGGCAACAAGTATCAGTAGGAAGCTTGAGATCAACCTGGCACACACTGGGCAGTAAACCATGACACCAGAATAAAACAGCACCATTTGGTATAGAAATAGGGCCACCTAATTGAGTATCAGTTCATGAACTCAAGACCCTTCTACTTAACCCAATCATAATTGATAATCGATTTCATCCTGATTTAAAACAAATAGTGTGTCTGGTAAGATGATGTTGATTTTTAATGTGTTATCAAGTGACTTGTGTTAGCATAATTAATTATTGGATTATCTATTTATTTATTTCTTTGGTTACTTTCTGATAGTTTCAAGCATGTCTCCAATGTATTATGTTCATAACTGCCTCCCCCAAGTCTTGTCTTCCAACTTGCCTGGACTCTTTCAACACTTTGTTTATGCTTGTGTGTGCACACACATGCTCACATAGGTGTGCATTTGTGTGGAGGTGGATATCAAGTACCTTCCTCAGCTTCTGAACAGTCATTTATTTAATATTTTTATTTTACTTTTAACTATGAGTATATGTTGGGGGGCATATTAACACACATGTGTGCAGGTGCCTGCAGAGTCCAGAAGGCATTGGGTGACGAGGATCTGGAGTCATACTCAACCATTAACCACCTCATGTGAGTGCTGAGAATTGAGGGAACAATGGGCACTCCTGACCACTGAGCCTTTTCTCCAGCCTCATGCATACCTCATTGTTGAGAACAGGTCTCTCATTGAACCTTGAGCTTGCCCATTTGGCTAGACTTGCTAGCCAGTAAGCCCCAGGGATCTACCTGTCTCCATCTCCATAGTTCTGGGATTTCAGGTACTCCTGGCTGATTTAAAGGGATGGTGGGGATCTGAACTCAGTCAGGTCCTCATTCATGCATAGCAAACATGCCACTCTTTGAGTCATCTTCCCAGCCCTGAAGGGTCGTTTTCTAAAGACATGTTTTACGTGTTTCTAATGTAAATGTCTTATGGATGAAGTTCAGTCTTCAGGAGATAAAATTGCAAAGGTGATCAAGCTGAAAAGCTGTAGCTCTCATGCTCTGTGTAGCTATGATGTTCATTGTACAAGATAGGGCAACAGTGCCCAGAGCTCCACCGGTTCAGCTAGAAGTCCAGTGGGCACAGTATGCACAGATGTAGTGCTGGCGTCTAGTAGAAGGTTCTGAAGAGCATAGGAGATTATGAAAAATTCCCCGAATCTTGTCAGTTTTGTTTTACAAAATGGAGTCACCGGGACCTTTTTAAAACTGTATATGTAAATAATAAATTATAGAATTTTGCTTTCAGGTAATTACAGAAAATCATGACTTTTCTCTCAAAATTTCATTTATTAAGGATAATTCTATATCCTTTAACAGGAAAAATAATTGTTATCATTATGAATACTCAATCTGAGAATTTTAACTGCTTAGTAAATCCTAGAAAATTGAGTTTTGTGGCTTCTGGATTTTAAATAAGAATAATTCTATCCTGTCCACACAGCCCTTCACCTTTTGTTCACCCTGCTAAGATGGTAGATGACGAATCCCTTCCAAGCTGTAATTAAGTAGTCTTACTTTTTTGTATTATAGAAGTAATAACATTTTACAGTACAATTTTTTTGTAATAAAAATGGTGAAAGGATGTAAAAGTAACCTACAATAATTCTCCAAGGAGTGGTGGAGTTTGTCCAATGACAAAGTCCTTGACACACAAGCATGGTGTTGTGAATTCAGCATACATATAAAAAGCTTAGCTCAGTGGCATGCTTCGGTAATCTCAGCTTTGAGATGGAGGCAAGAGCGTCCCTGGTGCTTACCAGCCATACAGTCTGCTGAACTGCTGAGAACCAGGTTCAGTGAAAGATGGGAGTTGGGGAGGCAGTTCTGTTTGTAGAGAGTGTGTTTACCATTTAGAAGAAAAGACTGGAGTTGATCCCAGCACTGTGTAAAACCAAGTACATGGTACACTCTTATATCTTTAGCAATCAGGAAATTGAGGCTGAGGATGAGAAGTTCAATGTCTTTCTTGGCAATGTTGTGAATTCAAGAACAGCCTGGGCTCTATGAGCCTCTTTATCAACAATTACAACAACAAAAACAACAAAAATGAGGTAGAATGTGATTAATGAAGACATGCAGTGTCAACACAAGACATTCAAATATATATCCAAATGCATCTGCACACCTATACATGTATATGAATGTGTACACAGACAGACAGACAGACAGACAGAGACACACACACATACACACACACACACACATACACACAAATCAAGTGTTTCATCGCTAGATATTTTGACAGACACTTATCAGTTTGTTTATACACATCTTCATAAATTGTTTAGATCCTGATTTCTTGACTTTCTCTTTCTGGCTTTCATACTAACACAACTAGGGGACAATGTGCTAAATGAAATGAGGCTGGCATACAATGCCAAATAATACATGATATCACGCATGGAATTTGTCCAAGTTGATCTCAAGAAAGTTGAGAATAAAGAACTGAGATTTAAAGGCTCGTGTCAGGACAAAGGGATGGGGAAGAAAGGACACTAATTTGAAATTGGATTAAATAAAGGTCTAGTATTCTATATATGATGATAGTGTGCCAGATAAATTCACAATTATAATTCATAATTATTATGTTAGCTTTCCCTGGGACGAAGTGAACAAATGTCTGTTCACTCCAGATAGTGCATAGAAGGAAGACAGAGGAAAGTAAAGATCCCATAAAAGCCCAATGTGACAAACAAATAAATCGACTATGGTTACTCACAGTGCTTTGGCAAGGGATTAATTAAAGGAGCTTCAGGAGAGGACAGGAGCCTCTTCACCCTCATGTGGATGACAACCTCATGGAAACTACACAGAGTCCCCTTTACTACCCTTCCACTCCTTATATACTCGAGTCTCACAAGGTCACTGCCAGCTGGGGAGGGCAGAAAGGAATAATGGCTTCACTTCCAGGGGAGGGTCCTGTGCCCTCCCCGCCTTCCTGTCATTAGGCAGTGTCAGTAACCCCATTCACATTATCATCGGCCTAGCTACATCTACACTGCAGCATTTGCCATGGCTATGAGGCTGAGCTGATCTCTACTCTGAGATCATAATGGGGTGAATATGTTGTGTGCAGAGGAAACAGGCCATACTAATCAACAAAGTGGCCTGTGTTTCAGAAACTAGATAAGCTTATTCTGAGTTGACATTAGACAATGTGTGTACCTATTGAGAGATTTCATGTTATCACATACATTTACTTAGGTTTATGTCCCAAATAAAGAACTATCTCAAATAAGAATAAATGCCAAAACAAACATAATAATAGTGACTGAATGTTCTTGCATAAAACCCTAACACAGTATATTATCAGCCCAGAACGAGGCACATATACCACGATCCTCCTAAGTTCAAATTTGCAGTCTCCATACACTGGCTATTCTTCTTGACTAGATCCCAAAGATCATTTGGAATTCTCAGCACAGGACTCTGTAAGACTGAATTTTCAACCAGAGTTGTCATAATAAAGGGTATCTCTTTTTCAACTCCAGTTTGGAGCTTAGGATGAAGAGATCAAATGGCTCTAAATGTCAGACTCAAATTAGCAAGAAGGGTAAATCATGAGAAGTTACGGTCCAGGCACTGGTCCAAAAGCCTGGTGTCGGTGTCTGTGGCACTGTCATCCTGTCTTCTTAAACACAGGCTGGCACATTGCTATTAGAACGTGAGCCTGCACCTTTATCCCGGATCACATGACCTGATGCAGGCCACAGCTCCCTGTTGCTCTTGCTGGGGCAGAGAATTTAGGAAGCAGTCTGTCTGCTACCCCTAAATGTTATAAAATTTTTGGCGTTTCCTTTTTTTCCAGGGTTGGTTCCCAGCTTCTTCGGGGGGTTTCTTTCTTGGGGGTTCCAATTGTTGTTTTTTGGGGGGGTTCTTTTGGCTTTTGGCGGCTTCTTTTGCTTGGCGGCTTTTTTTGTTTTTTTTCCCCTTTTCTTCTTCTTCTTGTTTTGTTTATGCAGCTCTCAGGGTTTTAAAGCAAGCCCCTCATTTCCTCTAAGGCCCCAATCATATCTAGACTCCATGTATTGTATTATTTCTGTTGAATGCTATCCTTTTTGTCTGTAGACCCAATCATGGCCTTGAGGCTCTCTTACTTCATACATCCCATTGGAGGGAGTTATGTGTCAGCTCCCTTCCAGGACCTGTTGCTGGTCATCTCTTCTTTTCTTTGATGATCACTGATGGGAGTTTCTACTTCACTGTGGTGTGTGTCCACTCCCTACAAATGAATGATTCCTTGTATTCTACTTAGGTTGGTTCTACTCCATGTGCCTCCCTGTAAGAGACATCTTCAAGATTTCAGGAACATTCCTGTGCACTGAGCAGCACCAATGATTTAGAGCAAGAATAACATGAGGAAATACATTGATATTTCTTTCTCTCTTCTCTCTGCTCCCAGAATCGGATGTTGCTGACTTTGATGGCAGGAGCTCACTTTTGTACAGGTTCAATCAGAAGATGATGAGCACCCTCAAAGACGTGATTTCCCTGAAGTTCAAGAGCATGCAAGGAGATGGGGTTCTGTTCCATGGAGAAGGACAACGTGGAGACCATATTACCCTGGAGCTCCAGAAGGGCAGGCTAGCCCTGTACCTGAATTTGGGTAGGGTCAGACTTGTGCATATGTACTCATGACTGTTAAGGCCAGAGATGAAGCTTAGGTGTCTTCCTCTATCAACACCACCCCTTTTTTGGTAGCACCCTCTCACTGAACTTGTAGCTCACTGATTTTGGTGTGTGTGTGTGTATGTGTGTGTTGTGTGCACATGAATGTACAGGTGTGCATATATATGCACACACGTGTGAAGGAGAGAGCAAGACACTAGATATCCCCTCTTTCTCTCTGACTTATTGCCTTGAGACAAGATCTCTTACCAACACAAAAGCTTGTGTTTGGAGTTAGGCGGGGTGGCCAGCAAGCTCTTTAAGATCCACTTATTTCTATCATTAGGCTAGGTACTCACCGTCATAGACACATTTTACTTTGTTATTATTATCATTGTTATTAATAATAGCATTTAGGATATGGGTGCTAGGGATTCAAATTCAGGTCTGCAGGTGTTCATATTCACTGATTTTTGCACAAGGTCACTATACCATGCAAATGGAGTCACTGGAGCACTATCTAAGTGATCTATTTCCTTTGTCTTTACAGGATTAGAATAGTACTTATTTTCAAATATTTCATCTTCATGAACTGCACTTATTTTCATTATTTTTTTTTTGCCAGAGGTATCATTCTGTGATAAAAGACAATATTTCTATGTAAAGGAAGCTACAATGTAAGTTTTAAATATCTGTTAATGTGTATACTTAACCTGATTTTTTTCTAGAACTCAAACTTTTAAGTAACTTAAAAAATTTTAAACATGGACCTATTATAATGAGCTTCTCATATCTGAGCTGATCAGGTACATTAAAAAAAATTGCCAGGAGAAATATGTAATCATTTTGTTCTTTTTAGTGGGAGGTAAAAATGTATGAATGGAAAACCTAAGGCGCTAGGCTTTCCTTTGTTAAGACAGCCTGGCCTGGAAGAATGAGCCTGGGACCTGGATGGCAGGTGATTTAGTGAAGAGTACCTTTCTCCCTCCCTGCAGAAGGATGCTGCTTACCTCTGTGGGTGAGCTACTCCCTGGGCTTTCTGCTCTCCCAGTAGGTCTACATTCATGGTGCCCAACTTCTCACCCCAGAACAGAAAGGAGGGAATCTTTTATGCCTTCTTACAGAAGAAAGGAATGAGTAGGCAAGACACAGGAAATAGGTGCTGAGTTCCTCAGAGCATGGAAGAAAACCAAAGGAGCCCTCCTCTAGACAAACCAAACAGAAAAGACGGATGCTGGATGGAGAAGAATGTGGCTTTTTAAAATTAAAGGCATTCATTTATTTGTATGTAGTTATATAGTGTGTCATGGCACAGTGTAAAGGTCAGAGGACAACTAGAAGGAGTTGGGTCTCCCTGTTTTCCAAATGGATCTCTGGGATCCAACTCAATTCATCAGGCTGAATGGCATATGCCCTTAACCTGCTGAGCCATCCTTCTGGGCCCCAACCAGGCTGCTTTGTCAGAGAATTCCTTTCTGTTTCCCACTTAATATTTATTCATATAAGGGAGAGGAAGTACATTGTTATTAATATTTACTATTGAGTAGGCAAGAAGGATAAATATAAATATAAATACTGGGAACAAGCTCAAGGTACACAGGTGACATCAGAGCAAGCTATATTTAGTCACCAGGAAAAGAACATGAGACTCCCCATTGGGCAGCCTCACTCCCAACAGCAAACAATGTAGGTCTTTATTCTGGTCCTTCTTCAGTGACAACTCCAAGCATCCTCTTGGCCTTCATGGTGAATATAAGGAAAAAAAAGTAGGAAGAACCGATAGATTTTCAAGATTATTTCATATAATTGATGCCTAACACAGAAGATGAAATAATAACTATGGGCTGGAGAGATCGCTCTGTTGCTAACTTTCTTGTAATGCAAGTATAAGAACCTGAATCCAGTCTCCAGAACCCACATGAAAATACAGAATTGGTAGTGCATGCTTGCATTTCTAGTACTTGGGAAGCAGAGACACATATGTCCCCTGGGATCACTAGACATCTGCATAGCCTGCTTGGTGAGTTCTAAGCCAGTGGGAGACCTTGCTTCAAACAAATAGACTAAGACTCCAAAACAATAAGGTGGAGAGTAATTGAAGAACAACACTAGAGATTGACCTCTGGCATGTGCGCGCACGCACACACAAATAAATAAATAAATAAATAAATAAATAAATAAATAAATAAATAAATAAATAAATAAATAAATAAATAAATAAATAATAAATAAATAATAAATAAATAAATAATAAAAATAAAGAAAAGGGGTAAATTGGAGACATACATAGCACGGCTGTTGTTCAAGCAGCAGTTTGTCTTAACTAGTTATCAGTGCTCTGCCTTCAAAGGCAGAATTGGTTCTGTGGTGAAATTTCACTAGGGAGTTGCCATTGTCCTACTTTCCAAGGGTAGAGCATAGACTTTTTTTTTTAGAATTCCTAACTAGGCATGAGATTTCACTCTTCAATCCATGGGGGTAGAGTGGCTCCCATCCCAGCATTCAAAGGTTTCATTTCAATTGTACATGACTATCTGCCCTCTGTAGAAATACAAAGGTAAGAACCATGCAGGCAGGTGGACCATCAAAGAGCCGAAGAATTGTGTGACTGCGGATCTGTTGTTAAGTACTGAACAGGACATCAACAGAGCATGCAGGTTACTCATCCTTACAGGAGTTTAATGTCTTTGAACTGAAGCAGAATGTTGGGTGATTCTAGCACATACAGATGTAGAACAGGGAGAATCTTGTGATAGAAAACTAGCATGGTGGGTGTCCTTTGGGGGCCAGGTGCAAGGTTCAAAAGCTAAAGCCATGGACTGCATGACAATTTATCAAGACAATGGTGAGTTCCTCAAACTCTGAAGAGACCAGTGACCATTCATTTTATAGTTCCTTTGAATTTCAGGCATTTGATTAAGCCAACTAACACGTATTTAGAGAATAATCAAGTCTTCTGAAAGGCATTTCTTTCCAATTTTCTACTTTTTGAGAGTCTAAATCTAGGCACTTAAATATATATGTGCATATGTATATTTTGTTTATGTCACATGACAGTCCTATACAGTATGTTTTTAATTTTGTTGGGAGACAAAGTCTCATGCATCCCAGGCTGATTTCATAAATTCTGCAACTTATGAAATAAGCATATGTTGAACTATGTATCGATTACCTGTTGCTGTGCCAAATACCCAACAAAAACAACTGAGGGAAGGAAGGATTTATTTCCTCTCATAACTCAAGGGCACAGTCCATCATGGTGGGTTAGACATATCAAAAGGAGCTTATGGCCACTGGTCCCTTTGCATCTGCAGTCAGAAAGCAGAGAGAGATGAATGCAGTGATCACCAAACTTTCTCCTCCCTATTCTCTCCTGGTGTCAAGTCTATGAAAAGTTGCTGCCCACATTTAAGATGGATCTTCCTACCTCAACGCAGTCTAGAAACTCCCTCAGAGACTTGCCCAGAGGTTTGTCTACTAGGTGATTCAGAGCCTGTAAAATTGTCAGTAAATATTAATTATCACCTACCAGCAACTAAGCAATGGGATTACCACTATTGGTCTAAAGGTTATACTTTTCAGTCCCTGCTTTAAAAATATTTCTACTTATCTCCAAGTTTTGTAATGTTAACTAAAGCAACTAAAACATGGCACTCATGCACTATCTAAACCATGTCACACAAACTCACTATGAGAACACCTTTATATGGTAGCAAAGTCACAGGAGTTGGACACCAGTAAGAAGCAAGGATGGAGCAACCTACACTGGATGTCCTAAGACAAAGATTTGTATTTTGTTGCTTTAGTGATACCCAGAGATTTGGCCTGTCTTGTTGAGAGGGCAGCTGGTGTGGGGGTGGGATCAAGCCAGCTGGAATCACTTCCCTTGTTTTTAGCGTTCTCACTTGCATCCTTAGGAGAGCACTTGTGAGTCCTGCCTATAATAAAAAACTGCTACGGAGTCATGCTTTTCTGGTCCTGGCTAACCTATGGAGTTATAATTTGCCTTGGCATTCTATACAATGTCCTTCTGCTGCTTATTTCACCACTTTCCTTCAGCACAGCTCTCTGCTCTCCAATTCATCCAGTTGTTCTCTGAAGCCCGCCACTCCTGCTCTGCCACACTGCTCACAAACAACAGACTAGGAGCACCGAATGCAGTGGTTAGAACACGGAGGTGGGGAAGAATGGGAATAGCATCCTTTTGCCAGCAGGAAGAATGCAGAGAATTTTAGCTTTGGATCAGGTAGAGCTAAGTGGTAACTAGTTCTCTGTGTCCTTGTGTAAGTCACACACCTTCTTTGAAACTAACTTCTCTTTTTCAAACAATGTATAGAGGAGTTTTGAGAGAGAGCCCAGTGGTAAGAATACTTCCTACTCTTGCAGAGGACTGAAGTTTGGATCCTAGGATTCATGTCAGGCAGGTTAGGGCTGCCTATAACTCTATCTCCAGGAGATCCAATGCCCTTTTCTAGCCTTCACAGGTACACACACACACACACACACACACACACACACACACACACACACACACGGGCACACTAAAAAAATCTTTAAAAATACCAAAACCATATAAATAGTATTACCTATGTAAGAAAGTTGACAAGGTTGGAGAGATGAAAGTGCTTGCTGCTCAAGAATGAGGAGCTCAGTGTGACCTACATGATCCAAAAAGACTGGGTATGGTAGCACAAACTTGTGTTGCTGGACTGGGGAGGCAGAAAGAGGTAGATTCCTGGAACTCTTTGCCCAGCCATCCCATGCTATCCTTCTGAGGATGAGGTGATGGAATGAAAATAAAGATGAAGCTAAAGAATGTAAACATTGGGACTGGAGAGATGATTCAGTGTTTATGAGAGCTGAGGATGGACATGCAGTTCCCAGTACCCACATGGACAGGCTCACAAGTGCCTATAACTCTGGGTTCAGAAGACTGGGGATGCTACTATAGCCTCCATGGGCACCTGAACCCAACTGCACGTACATATTCACAAACACACATACACACACACCACACTGCCTGTAACTCTGGCTGCAGAAGACAGGGGATGTTGTTGTGGCCTCCATG